TGGATTGGAAGGATAAACATTATTAAAATGGCCATCCTACCAAAAGCAATATACCGATTCAATGCTATTCCAATCAAAATTTCAATGTCATTCTTCAAAGAAATAGAACAATTATTGATGAAATTCATATGGAATCACCAAAAACCCCAAATAGCCAAAGCTCTACTGAAAAAAAAAGAAGGAAATGGAGGCATCACACTCCCAGACTTCAAACTATACTACAAAGCCATAATCATCAAAACTGCATGGTATTGGAACAAGAACAGACACACAGACCAATGGAATCGAATAGAAAATCCAGAAATAAACTCACAGATTTATGGTCAACTAATCTTTGACAAAGGAGCAAAGACTATGCATTGGAGCAAAGAAAGTTTGTTCAATAAATGGTGCTGGGAAAACTGGGTCACTACATGCAAAAGAATGAAGCTTGACCACTACCTCACACCATACACAAAAATCAACTCAAAATGGATTAAAGAACTAGACATAAGACCTGAAACCATAAAATACATAGAAGGAAATATAGGCGAAACACTACGTGATTTGCATATCAAAGACATCTTTACAGACACATCACCCAAAGCAGTAATAGTGAAGGCAAAGATAAACAGCTGGGACTACATCAAATTAAAGAGCTTCTGCACAGCAAAAGAGACAATAACAAAAACAAAGAGAAACCCCTCCAACTGGGAGAACATTTTTGCACCCAACACTAATGATAAAGGACTGATCACAAAAATCTACAAAGAGCTGATGAGACTCAACAACAACAAAGAAAATAACCCAGTCAAAAATGGGCAGAAGAGCTAAAAAGAAACTTCTCTGAAGAGGAAATGCAAATGGCCAACAGACATATGAAAAAATGTTCAACATCACTTGTAATCAGGGAAATGCAAATCAAAACTACCATGAGATGCCATCTTACACCAGTGAGAATGGCACATATTAAAAAAACTAGCAACAACAAATGTTGGCGAGGTTGTGGAGAAAAAGGAACTCTCCTGCACTGTTGGTGGGAATGCAAACTGGTCCAACCACTATGGAGAGCTGTGTGGAGATTTCTGGACCTACTAAACATAGAGCTTCCATATGATCCAGCAATTCCACTCCTAGGTATTTACCCAAAGGACACAGAAACATCAATTCCAAAGAACACCTGCACCCCTATGTTTATAGCAGCACTATTTACAATAGCTAAGCTATGGAAACAGCCCAAATGCCCAAAAATAGATGACTGGATCAAGAAGATGTGGTACATATATACCATGGAATATTACTCAGCATTCAAAAAAGATAAACACAATGCAATTGGCAGCAACATGGATGGCGCTGGAAGGCATCATGCTCAGCGAAATAAGCCAAAAAGAAAAAGAAAAATACCGGATGGTCTCACTCATAGCAGGAATCTAGAAAACTTAAATAAGCGATCAGGAAAATGAATAACTATAAGAAAGTGAAAATCAAAATCAACAAAAAACTATGAACCAGAGACACTTTTTGGGGAGTGGGGGACGGGAGGGGAGGGATAGGGGTCAGAATGGGGCATGTGCTGTTGTATGGGGTAATATAAAAATAAAATTTATTATTTAAAAAAAAAAGCCATACTATTTCAGAGACTAAAAATAGAGTTCTATTGAGCATAATCTAATTAATATTAAACATTAGTAACTGTTTACTATTTGCCATAAGTCTGCCTTATATCTCCATACTCTGCAAAGATGACAATTGATATAAACTTTCAGCTCAATATTTCCAAAACTCATACCTCAAAAATCAATGTTCTTCAAAGTAAAGTCTGCCTGTTTTGGGTCTTAGAACTCCTCCAATTTCCCTGGTACCATTTTCAATCCTTTGTTTAACCAGACTATCAACTGGTATAAAATATAAATAATAACAGGAGAAAACCATGTAAACTAGTTTCTCTCTGTTTCTTTCCTTTTACTTCTACATAATCTTTGAATTGCTCTTCTAAAAATTGTTAGGGACAGTCTACAATTAGATCCATATTTACTCTTATAAAATATTAAAGTGTCCAATGTTTTGTCTTATTTGATTATTTCCAGATAACATATTGGTCCAGGGCCTCCCCTGGTGGCGCAGTGGTTGAGTGCTGGGCTGCGAAGATGCCCACAGCCTCTGTAGCGCCGGTTCGATCCCCAGCCGCCGGCGAGGGTCCCACATGGCGCAGCAGACCTCTCCTGTCTTGCCCACTGCTCCCCTCAGCAGTGTATTTCATCAGTCTGCCTGTTCTGTTCCCCACTCTGGCGAATTCTCTCACCCTCCCACACTTCTGACTGTACCCAGTGCTTGTATAAATAAATAAAGCTTTAAAAAAAAAAAAAAAGAACATATTGGTCCAAATAAGTAAAGCAATTTATTCCTAGAAGTGTGATTTAGAAATACAGAATCTTGTAACAACAAAAAATTAAGAATTCTTTAGATAATCCTAAAACGAGTTGGTTCATTTACCCATGATCATTAAGTTAATGAAACATTGAAAATATGAGTTCACAGCTGAGCTGTGGAACCAAGTTGAACTGGGGCATGGTCTGCCCTCAAAATAAAGGGCAGACACCAGGAAGGAGCAATCCCCAGTGCCACTGGGGGAAGCCAGGGACCCCCACAACCACCTTCATGATAGGAGCAAGGGAAGGCCCTGTCTCCATTGGAACACAGACCGATGGAGTCAAACAGAAAACCCAGAAATAAACCCACAGATTTATGGACAACTAATCTTCGACAAAAGACAAAAGAATATGCAATGGAACAAAGAAAGTTTGTTCAAAAATGATACTAGAAAAATTGGGCTGCTACATACAAAAAAAAAAAAAATGAAACTTGACTATTACCTCCCACCATGCCCAAAAATCAACTCAAAATGGACTAAAGAACTGGACATAAGGCCTGAAGCCATAAAATATATAGAAGAAAATATAGGCAAAATACTATATAACATATGCCCCCATAACATCTTTAAAGACACATTACCCAAAGCAAAGGTAGTGAAGGAAAGGATAAACAGCTGGGACTACATCAAATTAAAGAGCTTCTGTACAGCAAAAGAGACATTAACCAAAACAAAGAGACACCCGCTGATTGGGAGAAAATTTTTGCACACAATACTAATGACAAGGGGTTGATCACAAAGATCTACAAGGAGCTGACAAAACTCAACAAAAACAAAGTAAACAACCAAGTCAAGAAATGGGCAGAGGAGCCTCCCCTGGTGGCGCAGCGGTTGAGCGCTGGGCTGCAAAGCTGCCTGCAGCTTCTGCAGCGCCAGTTCGATCCCCAGCCACTGGCGAGGGTCCCACATGGCGCAGCAGACCTCTCCTGCCGGCCCATTGCTCCCCTCAGCAGTGTATTTCGTCAAGTCTGCCTTTTCTGTTCCCCACTCTGGCTCTGGTGAATTCTCTCACCCTTCCACACTTCTGACTGTACCCAGGGCTTGTATAAATAAATAAATCTTAAAAAAAAAAAAAAAGGAATCGTAATGTATATATTAAAAAAAAAAAAAAAGAAAGAAAGAAATGGGCAGAGGAGCTAAAAAGACTTCTCCAAAGAGGAAATGCAAATGGCCAACAGACATAGGAAAAAATTTTCAATATCACTCATAATCAGGGAAATGCAAATCAAAACCACAATGAGATACCATCTCACACTAGTGAGAATGACACATATTAAAAAAACTAGCAACAGGGGCCTCCCCGGTGGCACAGCAGGTTGAGCACCATGTTGTGAAGCTGTCCACAGCCTCTGCAGCATGGGTTTGATTCCTGGCTGGACAGGGAGATACCCACATGGCGCAGCAGACCTCTTCTGTCTCACCCGCTGCTCCCCTCGGCAGTGTCTTTGGTCCATCTGCCTGTTCTGCTCCCTGCTCTGTTTCTGGTGAATTCTCTCACCCTCCCTCCCTCACCTCTGCCCTATACCCCAGTTCTTGTATAAATAAATAAATCTTTAAAAAAAAAAAAAACAAAAAAGCTAGCAACAACAAATGTTGGCGAGGATGTGGAGAAAAAGGAAATCTCCTATACTGCTGGTGGGAATGCAAACTGGTCCAACCACTATGGAAAGCTGTGTGAAAGTTCCTCAAACTGCTAAAAATGGAGCTTCCATATGATTCAACAATTCCACTCCTAGGGAGCTACCCAAAGGACACAAAAACATTAATTCAAAAGGATACCTGGACCCCTATGTTTAGTGCAGCACTATTTACAATAGGTAAAACCTGGAAACAACCCAAATGCCCAAAAATAGATGACTGGATCAAGAGATGTGGTATATATATACAATGGAATATTACTCAGCAATCAAAAAATATAAACTCAAGCCATTTGCAGCAACATGGATAGAGGTGCAAGGGAACATGTTCAGTGAAATAAGCCAGAAAGAAGAAGAAGAAAAAAATACTGGATGGTTTCACATTTAGGAGGAATGTAGAGAATCCAAACAAGGGGTCAGGAAAAAAGAAGTAACTATAATAAAATATCAAAATCAACAGGCAACTATAAACCAGAGACATTATACGGGTGGGGGTGGAGAGGGAAATAGGATCAAAACAGAGGTAAGTAGAGCACAGTGCATTGGTGGTGGGAATTTCACGGGGACTATAATCGAGATGAGAAAGAGAAAGAGAAAGAGATGAGATGAGATGAGATGAGATGAGATGAGATGAGATGAGATGAGATGAGATGAGATGAGATGAGATGAGATGAGAAAGCATACATGTACAAAAATGAAGAATGATGTAAAAAATACATAAAATTTAAAAAATCGTAATAATAAGTTCACAAACTTCCAGGCCATTGGCCTTACCCCCATTCAATTCCCCCCTGATTAATGTCAGTTATTCACAGTGATTCTTGATCTTCCATTGTCTAAAATATCCACTCTTAGCAAATTTAATAATCTATCAATTCTCAATGCCTGTGTCTAAAATCTTCAAAAGCTAGAAATGTACTTTACTGCTGGGTCAAATACTTTATTATATTTACCTCTCATGGGAGATTTCATGGCAGCTTCTACCATCCCTACCAGAAGTTGGAGACTTTTTGGGTCCTGAGCCAAACCAGATGCAAAGGCTGCTAGGGCATCGGCATGACGTCCAAGGTACTGGAGGGCAACACCCTGTCGGAAGTATGCCTGGAAATAAAGAATGGACAATGCACATTTTACTATATACATATAGCATTATATACCATGCTGCAACAAGGCTGATGATTGTTCTTTGTTAGAATAATAGCTGAACAGAACTAAGATTGAATTGATCTTGGCTCCAAAACCTAATACATAGTTTGTAATCAAATTTGGTTTCTTCCAACATCAAAAAATTTAAGCATACATCTTTCAGGCAAATGATATTTAAGTCTTCACTCTTTTCACTTAGAGGGCATATTATTTTTTATCACATTCTTTGTCATTTATACATGTTACTTTTATTGGTGTTTTTGGTGGTACTCAAAATATTTTTATCCCACCTTTAATAGCATAAGCTCCTCAAAGATATGGATTTGGAGATTTCTTTATATGTCACCAAAATATCTAGCACAGTGCAAGATAAAAGCAAATCACTCAAATTGCATTTATTTTGTATTTCTCCCTTGATATAAGGGAAAAATCAACGTGTAATTATTATTGAGATAATTATATTGATGAGTAACATAATATGGCTACATTTAATGAGGTTTTTCAGTCACAATATTTAAAAGCTGTTATCTATAATATCCTTTGCTTAGAAACAAAGTAAGACAGTTGTCTTTTGTATTCTTTAATTTGATTAGTTTAAAAGCTAGTATTGTCAGCTGTGATTAAAAGAAAGCATGCCTCCTTCCAGCTAATTGCAGAAAGGGCCAGGAAATTAATAAAATAACTAAGTTTTAGAACAGTCTTGAGAACATACAGTTGTTTTCAAGCATACAGGGTAAAAAACAAGTAAATGAACAATTTTATGTAACCAGCAAAAGATCTTATACCTGATTAACACAAAAAACGGTATTACTAATACATTCATTGCTACTATGACAACACTTGCTTCTAAAATATTTGTCCTCCTATTTAAATATTCTTAAAATACTATGTGGTTATCACCCAAATTTAACTTTTTTAGTTCAATATACTTTGAAAATGCCACAAGTCATATTCAAGGGATGAATGAAGTTTCAAACAACTCATCAAGCTACTTTTTAGAAAACATAATACATAATTGTATGATTTTTATATGACACACTCTGAGAGCAAGAGAGAGAGCACCTTTCATGTTTATAAAACATATTTACTTACCTTATCTCATTCATTTTTGTTACTCCCCTTTGAGGTAATTTAAGATATGAAATACTATTCAGTGTTTCTATTAAGATACGAAATACTATTCAGTGTTTCTATTAAGAAACAATCCATAAACAGAATGAATGCTCAAATTATTATAGGCTATTCAGGTTTCTATTAAACTACCAGCAGCTGTTAAAACTGAGACCCCAGTAAAACAATAACCTGTAAATGCACTTTCATTACTAATTCATAGGATCACTTCCTTTCACTGAACTCGGCCACTGTTTTAATCTTTAATGTGAAAAATGTAGGCATTTTTCGCTACCCTTTTCATTTCACATTTTAGGTGATTTCTATAATCTAAGAGGCAATATATACAACATTCCATCTAAAAATAACTATAATTTACATAATTCTAAAATGCTATATTAAAGCTAAACTAACAACAATGTATGTGCCAAATACCTATAAACTGTAATTATTATTTATAGAGACAGAGAAAAATATCTGTAGTTATTGATTTCAGGTATGCATTTTAACACACACAAAAATCAATTGTGGTATCATTTCATAACACATGCAACTCAAATCATTCTGTACATCTTTAACTTATACAATGCTGCATGTCAACTATATCTCAATAAAATGGGAAAAATGAAACAAAAATCTTAAATTAGTTTCAGAATTTTAATACCCTATCTGCCAAGTCACTGAAAAGTATAATTTACTTGTTAGTAGGTAAGCAAAAAACAGTGTTAAATGCAAATTGTGGAGCCTCCCCCATGGCGTAGCGGTTGAGCGCTGGGTTGCGAAGCTGCCCGCAGCCTCTGCAGCGCCAGTTCGATCCCCAGCCACAGGGAGAGGGTCCCACATGGCGCGCAGACCTCTCCTGCTGCCTGCTGCTCCCCTCAGCAGTGTACTTCGTCAGTCTGCCTGCACTGCTCTCCCCTCTGGCTCTGGTGAATTCTCTCACCCTCCCGCGCTTCTGACTGTACCCAGTGCTTGTAAATAAATAAATAAATAAATAAATAAATAAATAAATAAATAAATAAATAATTTTAAGTTCTAAAAAAAATGCAAATTGTGCTGTCAAGTATGAAAAGCCATTCCAAACAGTGTGCATAGTTTGTTTTCTTAGGACATTCAGAAATTAGATGAGAACAAGTGTGACTGGACTATGCCACCAACAATGTTGACTTCCTTTCTTCAGAAGATTTTGAAGAGATATGAAAGAGAAGGCTCAAAGTTCCCCCTGTTCCTCTTTTATGCCCTTCCAGAATCCCCAACCCAACTTTATAAGATTTTCTCAATTAAAAGCTAGAATTGTGTCCCTGTCAAAAGAGTCAAACTTGGAAAAACCCCTGTTCCAAACTCAGTGGGGCTCTCCCATCTTTTTTCCACACAATTTTCATCGTGAAAACAAACAGCTGCTGAATGCAAATTAGTTCTGTATACATTTGTGAGAGACATGCCACTATGGAGTTCAAGTTAATGATGATAAAACCTCGATCATGAGTTATTGTGCTAGAATAAAAATTCAGCACAGTGCCTGACAAAGTAAGCATTCAGTAAGCTATATTGATAGCTTCATTTCATTAGTTAATGAAAAAAGAATCATAATAAGAACACATAATTATTGTGTTCTTAACATAAGTGGAAACCAATAAATATTTTATTATTCAATATAATATAATATAAATTATATTATATATATATTGTATTATATCAATATTATATTATTATATCAATATAATATAACTATTCAATTCCTATCACTGCTTCATTCACTCCTCCCCTTATTCCATAAAAAACTATTGGCAACTGGGAAGCTCACTGCTCCAAGACTTTGAACCAACTGACTTAAAGAAATTGGTATTATCAGGGAGATGGGACAACCACTCGCAGGATCTCTACCAGCCTCTTCCAAAACAAAGGTCAAGATGTGCTAAGATTCACATTTATATACCATAGCTTCAAGAAAACTGATATGAGTCTGCTATGACCAATCTGCTTCTCCCCAACTGATGGCTACTATTAATTTTTCCTTTATTCACTATCCAGGTTTCACAGGAAGCTGCTTCTCTGGGAAAAGGGGAAAATTTTGATCACTTAAGGTTAAAGAGAGACAGTATATGTGCAGCATATCAAGGGAAGGTGGGACCTATGAAGCAATATTGAATACCTGCTGCCCAACCAACCTCAGATAATACAAGCATCTTCAGACAATACATCCCCCTGCCTGTACATGCATGCACACACGCGTGTGCACACACACACATACACACACCCCATTGGTATGTAGCATAGGGAAAGGAAGGGCAACATGGATTGACTTTGGTCAGTACCTACACCTCTCAATAATAGCTTTAATCTGAAGCATTAGCCAAGAAGACAAATGTAGAAGAAGCTAGTTAATACACCAGGTTAAAGGTGGAATGCCTAAAATCTCCCTTCAAGTATTCATGGTAGCAATGAATCAGACATTGAGGTCTTTACTTTCAATACCCCATCCTGCTTCACAGTTCGCAAACATTACTGAACTCAATGATGTAACATCCTACTCCATTGGCTCAAATGAGCGATGAGACAAACTGCTCTGTTCATAAATAAACGTGAATATTTATAACATCAAATATATGTACACATATATGTGATATAATATGTAAGTTACATGTGTAATATTTAAAATATGTAACAATATCTAAAATTCTGCCTTCAACTTAATCTGTACTTTCAAGTGTGACTAAGAAACTAAAATTTGGTTTATTGCATTTTAGTTACTTTAAACTGAAACAGCCACAAGTGACCAACACTACTAGATTGGACAATGCAGGTCTAGAGTTCTTTAACAATAAACCTCCCAACACAAATCTAAATTTGGAAATGAAAAGGGATATATTAAACAAATGTACTACCATAAAATTTCTGAACTGAAGTTATGTGCCTTAGTCAAAGACAGTGACAGTAGAAAAAGAACTCATAAGGCTGACACAAGGCACGTAATCTCCCAAACTTCCATGTTCCATTTCCACTCATGGAGAAGATATGAAGACCTCAAAGGGTTGTAATAAAGATTTCTAGTTGATATCACATGTGAAATAAGAAACACTGAGTAGGCGTTTTTTTAAAAATTGACCAGAAAGTGAATTTCTCACTGCTAAGTTAACTCTCAATTTGGCATTTGCTTTATAATCAATATATCTGCTTCACCAGCATACATATTAGAAATAACCTATGCTAAATTAAAGGGCTGACAAAAATTTGGCACAAAACAAAAATTAATGATTACTCTGAGTTATTAAAGAAATAATGAACTTATGTCTGGCATCTTCATTTCAAAAGATTATAAAGAGGTAAATATTTAAGAGAAATTTTTTAATCAAAATTGTTTTTAAAAATAGTTCAGTGACAATAACTGACGGGGAAAACCTATATTGTCAAAAAACAAGCAAGGATGTAAAATAAATAAGAATAAAAAAAAAATTTCAACTTTGGCAGTTGATTGGGTAGGCTTCAATTATCTAGTAAATACATTTTTGGGGGAAAAGACTACATGCAGATTAAGAAGGTCCTTAGGCCTAGGTGGAAAAGAAGAAAGAGGTGGCAGAAAATGACAAAAAACCTGTATTTATAAATATGAATAAAAATATGTATAAATAAGTCCTTACTCTTAGATTCTTTATCCTGATACTGGTTATTAAAATTACTACAAGATAAGGGGTCAGGAAAATAATAATCATAATAAATTAAAAAACAAAATTAATAGGCAACTATTAATCAAAGACACTGCAGTGGGGGGAAGGGGGAGGGATCAAAACAAGGAAGGGAAGAACAAAAGGGACTAAAGTGATGGTGCACGGGTGGACTGGTGGTGG